CTGTTAGGATAAATAACATGATGTTTGCCTCGGTAGCCAATTGGTAATTTAGTGTTGGATTCATTTGAATATTTGGATAGTCACAATATTTAAATTGATAACTCTCATTTGTAATTTACATTTATTTATTTTGTTGCAATGTTAATAACCCTTAACTATCTATACAAATATAGTTTCAACAAATCTTTATTTTTCAAAAGATAAATTTATTCCTTAAGCTCAACTTCATGTAGAAACAGGAAATGTGCTTATTTTTTCATGTTTTTCCATCCACCCACCCAGCCACCTATCTATCTATCTATCTATCTATCTATCTATCTATCTATCTATCTATCTATCTATCTATCTATCTATCTATCTATCTATCTATCTATCTATCTATCTATCTATCGTAATTTTACTTATCTATCCATCCAACTATCCATCCATCCATCCATCCAAATTTACCTTATCTATCCATCCATCCATCCATCCATCCATCCATCGTAATTTACGTTATCTATCCATCCATCCATCCAAATGTACCTTATCTATCCATCTATCCATCGTAATTTACCTTATCCATCCATCCATCTATATATCCATCCATTGTGCTTTTTTCCGCTCTAACGTGCACATTTCCCCACCGTGGGATCATTAAAGTTTCCTATTCATTTCTAAATTCTTCCCCTGTTTAATCTAAACTTCTCCCCTCCCCCTCCAGCTCTCTGAGGAGCGTCCGTTCTCACCTCTTGTCTGATTTCCGGGACAAAGGCGAGGCGGTGAAGCTCACCACGCAGTGCCTCAGCCAGGAGTTTGAGGGCCCCTGCTCCCGGCTGCCGGCCCACGTGCACAAACCCGCGCACGTGAGCTACGACCGCTGGCAGAGCAACTGCCAGGGCCTCAAGATGGCCGCCGACGGCCTCATCCGGGAGTCCGCCGCCTTCAGGGGGAACCTGCAGTTCCTGCTGGCCAACGTAAGGAAGCAACTCAACTCAAAAACATGCATATAAGTCAAATAAGTATTTGACCCCTTGCTGATTTTGCAGGTTTCCCCACTTACAAAGAATGCAACGATCTATAACTTTAATCATATGTACATTCTAACAGTGAAAGACAGAATCCCAAAGAAAATTCCAGAAAATCACATCATATGAATTTATGAAAATTGATAACCATCTGATGAGGAAAAATAAACATTCTTTGTAAGTGGGCAAACCTGCAAAATCAGCAATGGGTCAAATACTTACTTCCCCCACTATATGTCTAATTTATCTAACTTATCTAATTTATGTCTATGTCTGCACGGGAGAGCAAGAAACGAAATTTCAATTCTTTGTATGACCAACGCATGTAAAGAAATTGACAATAAAGCCTACTTGACTTGACTTGACTTGACTGGGATGTCCTCGCGTCTAACGTCTGATTTATCCGACTTATTTCACAGTTAAAAAACTCCCAGGAGCACCAGCGGAGGAGCACAGACGAGGCTCTGCGCAGGAAAATCTACGAGCTGACCAGAGTCCAGGACACCCTGATGTGGGAGAAGCAGAGGGTCAGTTTTTCTCTGGCTCCGGCCTCCTTTAACTCATTTTTTTTATTCATGTTTTTATTCACGTGACACGGTCAAGTACAAAAACTGTGAAAAGTAAGGATTTTTTTTTCTTTTTACAAAAACAACCACTCATTCCCTCCCCAATCCCACAAGATTATGCTACAGATCAGTAATAACCCACATCCTTCCTTCTTACCGTACACAAACATGTGAATAAAAAAGGAGAGAGTAGTAAGAATAACATAAATAAATAAATAAATAAATAAATAAATAAATAAATAAATAAATAAATAAATAAATAGAAAACACCACAAAATAAAACTGAGAAGTAAAATTTTCAATGGGTTGAGATTGAAGCAAGGAGTAAAAGAAAATGTAATCAAAAGTCAGTTTTCAAGAGTGGAAATTTAATTTGTCCTGTAGTGTCTTTAACTCATTGACTGCCAGCCATTTTCAGAACAGAGAGTCCCATACTGCCAGAGTTTTTTAAAACATTTTGACTGATTTTTCTAGAGCCACAGAATAGTTTGTCTTATGACTATGTAAACACCAAACACACCAAAAGAAAGAGTAGACTCTCTTCTTTCATCAGGAAAAAATATTTGTTTCTACCTTATTCCGTTCTTCCTGGACTTGCGTCTCACCGGCGACATGTTCTCTCATAG